AGCTCAAGGCTAGCACTCTACCACTTGAGCCACAGCGCCACTTCCGGCTTTTTTCTTTTTGCTTATGTGGTGCTGAGGAATCGAACCCAGGGCCTCAAGCATGCAAGGCAAGTGCTCTACCACTGAGCCACCTTCCCAGCCTGTGTCAGGGTTCTTGACAAGGTGAGGTGAGTGAAACATTGACATGGACAGATTTGCTATCTTTCCTTATGTGAGTTGTTACCATGTATCTGTGTCTAGTAATTCCTAAAGTTCCCTTCTCAGAAAATGTTGAACTATAAAGGCTGCTTATGAAATCTCCAAAAAGACAATCACACAGTACATAATTTTTAAAGCTTTATTTAAAAATTAATATGTTCATTAGAAAAGTTCGGAAGGGGATGCAGCTTGACAGCAGGAATAACTTCTAATGTATTTTTTACAGCGCCAGCAGGATCACTGTTATTAGTAACAATTATTTGTATATTTCAATATAGAATTAAGAGAAAATTCTGAATGCTTCCAATACAAATAAATGATAAATATTTGAGGCAACAGAGATATCAATCACCCTGACCAGACCAAAATACATTGAATATATGTGCTAACACAATGCACCCCATAAATATGTACTACTACTGTGTGTCAGTTAAAATAAAAATGTGTGTGTGTGTGCGCGTGCGCGCGCACGCGTGCGCATGCTCTGATACTGGGATTTGAACTCAGGTCCTGGACCCTGTACCTTAGCTTTTTTTGCTCAAGGCTGACTCACGACTACTTGAGCTATAGCTCCATTTCCAGCTCTTCAGTGGTTAACTGGAAATAAGTCTCACAGACTTTGTTGCCTGGCTGGCTTTGCACTTAGAACTATGATTTTCAGCCTCCTGAATAGCTAGGATTACAGGTATGAGCTACCCGTGCCTAGCAAAACTGCATTTTAAAAAGCCAGACTAGGGGCTAGAGGGATATGGCACAAGTGACAAAGTGCCTGAAAGCATGAGGCCCTGAGTTCAAACAAGGGTTGGGAAGGTAGTTCAATTAAAAACAAAACAAAACAAATAGAAATCAGGCAAAAAAAAAAAAAGATATTTTGAATTCAAAAGAAGAAAAGTTTGAAAGGATGTATGTCACTATATTAATAATGACGGGCTACATATACAAGTTTTCAACTACGTATTTCCACTAGGATGAATAACATACGCAAAATGTGTTCATGTTTCCACCTTCCTCTGACTCTACCTCTCACTGAAACCTGCTTGTCCTCTTACTCTCAATAAATAGTGGGTAAAGGTGTCAACAACACCTACCCCGTCTGCCAGGCTAGAAATCAAAGTTCAAAATCTCTAACTGGGCCTGTCAAGTCCGCCACACTACCATTTCCCCAGCTGGATTCCCCAGGCTGCTCTTACTGGGACCAGTACACTTCCTTCCTGGCAACTCTGCTGCACCTCAGCTGAGTGTTCCTCATCTCTGTATACTTCATTATTCTCACTGCAAACAAGGGTGACAAGTGAGTAGAGAATTTATCACAGTTAAGTGCTTGGAATAATGACTGGTGCATAGTAAACATCCAAAATACGCTAACTGTTGTGATAGTTATAGAAAAGGAACAAGAATTTACCCATTATCTATAAATGGTATAATTGTTATGCTAGACTGCAAGCTCTGTCTTGTTTGTTCCTTTATCCCAGAATTTTTTTCCCTTATTTTTCCTCCCTTCCCCCGCCCCCAACTGCCCCTCCATTCTCTCTTTTCTGCAAGGGACTGAATTTAGGGCTTCCAGAATGCTAAGTGGGTACTCTACCACTGACAGCATCCCTAGCCCCACTGAATTTCTTACAGAGGTAGACAGAGTAGATCTCTCTCTCTTTTTTTTTTAATTAAGTAAATGAAATTTAGATTCTAGATGAACCTTTATCTTCATCCTACAGTACCAAATTGGATAAGTTTTGTCTCCTAAGAAGTTCTCAGACTGTAGTGACCTATTGCATTAACCTCCTAACTGGGCTTCCTGCCTCCTCTGATCACAATGGCCCTCTTCCCTCATATACCTGGAAGATGTACCTAACAGATGTTCCACCTAGACTAATATTCCACCAGACTGCCACCTGCCTGGCTCCTTCATAGCTATCAGGTCTCAGCTTAACCACAACAGTGGCAGAGAAACCCTCGCTTTAGGATCTTTTATTTTTGTTTTTCTTAATTGAAAGGATTCTCTTACCCAGGTCACTGTACTCTAAGACTACATGTACTTTCCAGCAAATCATTTCCTGACTTCCTGTCTATTCATTTTTCTTTCCCCCTTGCCCCATTCCAGGCTTAGCTTTCTTGCTAATGGCTGGTACTTTACCAATTCAGTCACATCTTTAGCCCAGCTTTTCTTGGTTGATTGGAGATGGGGGAGATGGGGCTTGAACTCAGGTCCTGGACACTGTACCTTAGCTTTTTTGCTCAAGGATGATTCATGTCTACTTGAGCTACAGCTCCACTTCCAGCTCTTCAGTGGTTAACTGGAAATAAGTCTCACAGACTTTGTTGCTCAGCTGGTTTCAAACTTATAACTACAATCCTCAGATTTCAGCCTCCTGAATAGCTAGGATTACATGCGTGAGCCCAGGCTGGCTTCAAACCACAATCCTCCAGACCCCAGCCTCCTGAGTAACTAGGATTACAGATATGAGCCATGAATATTCAGTAATTTATTTCTTGTCTTCCTCTCCACACGAGACCCCCTAACACTAAGAACTACCCTATTATGGATACCATTTTCATTTCTTGCCCATTTCTAAAACGCATGGTACTTAGTGGACATGTCATAAATAATTGCTAAGTTTGATTGACTGACTAAATAAGTAAATCTTTCAAGATCTGCCACAAGATTACCTGAGGTTTAGATTTTCATAGGCAGAATTATTCTTTTGTCCCCTACTGTATTGTTCCATACTTCTCCTATAGCATGGGAGACCATGTACCTCTAGAGCAAGAATGGGGTTTCAGGCTGGGAAGATGGCTCAGTGGTAGAGCGCTTGCCTTGCATGCTTGAGGCCCTGGGTTCGATTTCTCAGCACCACATGAAGCAAAAAGAAAAAAAAAAAGCCAGAAGTGACGCTGCGGCTCAAGTGGTAGAGTGCTAGCCTTGAGCTGAAGAGCTGAGGGACAGTGCCCAGGCCCAGAGTTCAGGCCCCACAACCGGACCCCCCCCCCAAAAAAAAAGAATGGGGTTTCATTCATCGTTGTAACCTCAGAGCCCAGGGCAGTGACTGACATGATGGTGTCCACTGTATATTTGCTAAATGAACAAATGAAAAACTGAAAACTTTAGCTGCCCTTCTCCCAACTCAGCTACTACTAATTCTGGTCTACTGTGAAAACAGAAAAAAAAATGCCTAGGCAAAGGACCAAACAAAACAATACAAGACAAAAAAGATAAAAATTTAGTTTTTGAAATAGGAATGAAAGTTGGTTCATGACTCAGTGCTTATCCAGCCTGCCTCATAAACTTTGGTGGGAAGGGATCCTTACCACCTGATTTTTAATAAAAATATGCTTACTAACCAAAGAGTTCTACTTTACCACAGTTAGCTTGACTTGATTTGAACTCATATTTACTTGTTCATCAATGGCCTTTAGATTTTGTAGTAGAACACAACAACTATACCCCTAGAATGAGCCAGAAACCATTGAAATGAAAGAAACCTACAACTCAATACTTACTTGCTCTGTTGGGAACAGGGTATTGATGTACTCAACAGCATTGAAGTCTGCTCGATCTAGAGGATCCTGGCTTGGAAATACCTACATAAAAACATGGCAAAACATCATGTTGAACATCATAAATAGCAATTATTTTTGTGATTAAAAGAGAATTTTTTTGCTGGGCACTGGTGGCTCATGTCTCTAATCCTAGCTACTCAGGTGGATGAAATCTGAAGATTGCAGTTTGAAGCCAGCCCAGGCAGGAAAGGCTGTGACACTCTTCTCTCAAACAAACTATTCAGAAAAAGCTGGAAGTGGCACTGTAGCTCAAGTGGTAGTTTCTTGGAGATAAGAATACTAGCCTTAAACAAAAATGTTCGGGGACAGCACCTAGGCCCTATATTCAAGCCCCAGGACCAGCACAAAAACAAAACAAAACAACAATTTTTTTTAAATAGGAGATTAAAAGTAACTATGATTTTCTATCTTATTTTATATATTTTTCCTTTCTCCTGTTAGATAGTAAATGGCCTGAAGGCATTTTTTTCACTTTATAATGCTTCACACATAATAAATACTCCACAAAATATCTACTGAGGCAAATCTTTAATTTTTAACATTTGTAGTGTTCACATTTTAGTAAAGTGAACAGAATGCAAATGTAAAAAGTTCCACAGATACCAGTAACATTTCAGAGATAAGGACATGTCAGCAGGTATGTCTACTAGTAGACTTAGCCAAATGATAATATCTTGTATTAAGAAGGTCTTGATAATAGACTTATACAATGACTCAGTGATGTGTCAGAGTAAAATTCATTATGCATTTAGGTAGGTGAATTTTTTTTTTGCCAGTCATGGTGCCTGAACTCTGGGGCCTGGGCACTGTCCCTCAGCTCTTTAGCTCAAGGCTAGTGCTCTACCA